CATCGACGGGCAAGGCAGCGCGCTGTCTTCATAAACGTGAACCCCTCGAGTGAAGATGGGGTTGTCGGGATCTTCGCGAGCCGCGTTGAGGAATGAGTCAGGCACCTCAGACGCCGCCCGCGCATCAACAACTCGCGCAAGCTGACAGGTATACAACCTGTGGTGGACTGTGTCTCGTTCTCCACACTCGCACAACCCGTCACACAAGTACCCCGAACGCATGGCACGATCATTGGTCCACAGTCCACCGCAGCCGCAACTCGTGATTAGGTACTTTTGAAACCGAGTGAGTTTTCGGGCCTTGGGTCCGACTTCGTCTCGAATCAAGTCCAGGGTGGCCCTAGTCCCTGGAGGAAAACCGAGCGTTCGAGAAAAATCAAATCCCCTCTCTCTCTCTCTGCAGTCCAGCTTCCAGCTGCACGGCCAAGAGAGCAGGGGGCGTGGCAGACAGGTCTACTCTGAGCCCATTGTGGTCGATCCAGAAACATGGGCCTTCAGCCCTCCAGCCAGCACGCTTTAAACTGAGAACAGCTCTAGAGATGGGCCCTTGGGATATGTTCCAAGTTGGGCACTCCAGATGCTGACACGAATCCCAAAGCTTCAAAAGCTCAGCGCGTGAGACCAGCGAGAGATCGGGACGCCGCGAAGCGGTCCACATCATTCGGCACCATTGTATAGCAGGAGCGATAGCATAGCGAGCACTACCATCGCCCAGAAGGACGACTTTAGACGTGAGGGAAACGCCCCCGTGAGAAGGCCCCTCGCTGCGGGCCATCATTCTCCTGAGGTTCAGCCACTCCGAGGCCGTGAGACCCAAGACCTCCGCCCCGAATCCGCAGGCAGGAGCGACGCCTTGTTTGGACACCTTCTTGAACGGGGTCCCCTTGGGTCCCTTGAAACGCCTTCGGAGGGCTCGAACCTTGCGAATTCGCTTTTTCATAATAGCAATGCGGCCTTTTTGTTTCAGCCGAGCTCGCTGTGCACACCGTCGAGCGCCTGCAGATTCACCTATGCCAAGATACGCAACACTCGCCTTGCAAACAGATAGTGGCAGCTGCAGAGCCGTGCACACGTCACGAGCGAGCTCCTTCGAGGTGGAGACAATTGACAGCTTCCCAGGGTGCAGCTCCGCACTCAACTTCAAACTGGCCGCCTGGAACTGCTTCATCCCCGCAACTGCCGCTGACTTAGCTATTACATAATCGCTCGAGGCGACGTGGAGCCCTGTATCGTCAATGTAGTTCTGGAAGTCCACAAATGGAGCCAGCTCAACGAACGTGTCGAAGGCATCGACAGCGTTGACCTTGATCGCCAGGTCGCTGTAGCCGTCGCCTGCAGGCAGCCCATGAGTGGCCACCAAGGCCGTCAGGGCGTGATGTCGCCCAAGTCGGATGACCCGCGGGCACGACCACATGTTGACGACCAGCTTCAACCAACAATGAGGAGCTCCGTGGCGCTGAAACTTGCGTCGCAACTCGAGTAGCGGAATCGACTCATAGTACTTGACCCAGTCCACTGTGATGAGTACTCCATACTTGTGAGAGGCTTGGTTGCTCTCTGATCGAGCCGCCTGCAACCATGCACAGTCAGTGGCCGATCTCCCTCGGCTGGCACCCCAATATCTTCTGTCGAGGGCGTCGTGCAGGTGCGCAACCATGGGCTTGCGAGCTCTCTGCCACATACGGTAGATGGCAGCGTACAGTATTATCAGACGATTGCCTCCAGACGGCTTTGCCAGCCTCGGCATCTGGATCCAGCACAGCTGCTTTGGCAACATGCCTATGGCTTCAGACGCCGAGAGCAGCAGAGCCAGCGTGTGGAGGCCGTCGTCGTCAAGGAGTAGGAAGTGCCTCGGGTGAAAGTTATCGTAGCTAGTGACCGTCCCAGCTGGAAATGACATGGCAGCACGACGCAGGTCGGCTGGCTCCAGGAGCGGGCACATCGATCGGTCTGGTACCCCGGGCGGGAGAGCGACGTCGGAAGCATGCCATAGACGACGATACAGTTCCACTTCCTGCGCAACAATAATAACAGGGCCACCTGACTGAATACCAGCTGTCACAGCTGGCGTCGGGATAGCCTTGACCTTGGTAAGTCGATGCAGAGGGCGGGCGCCGCCGCAGGATGCTGCACTGCACCAGTCGGCCCATGCTGCATTGGAATCTTTGGTATGACCTTTAACTGCCAGGGTTACATCATCAGCAATATCATCAACGAACGATTGAATCTGGTCCATGTCCATGGGGATAGCATTGATTAGGTTTCTCGCCTGCACGACCGTGGCGTCTAGGCGAGCGTTGAGGCCTTGGCCTGGGTACGGTGAAGTCACAAACAGGGCGATCTCCTCAGAACACTGGACCATGGAATCATCTTTGGTATATAACGCCTGAATCGTGGTGACCATGTTCTGCAACCACTGCCAGCCTTGACCAATACACTGTGTATCATTCGGATCCTTAGTCGGGTATGTTACATTGATCCATCTAGGCTCGAGATTTCTGGCATATGCACTGGGCTCACGAAGCTCCACTCCGACATTCTGCGCAATGTACTCGGCGAAGGAAACAGCAAATCGCCCGTACACTCGTGTGAGGAGTGCCCAGACCACCGCCACGTCGCTGCCGGGGTCAGCCGCCAGCTCAACGGTGCGCTCAGCAAGGGCTCGATGCAGCGTCCAGTCGGTAGGCCTCGTGCGCGGCCCTGGCGGCGGGGTGGCAGGCAGCTTGGAGGAGACAGAATACACATAGTGCTGCACGTCCACCCCGTTGTCAATCAGCTGCAACTGCACGGGACGATGAGCCTTCTTGTGCCAGGTCATGACCGCGTTGACTCCCCGATAACCACGGACAACAGCATCATCGAGGCAGAAAAAGTCAATAGTGCTGGCGCCCATGCCGCCTCGGAACGTAGCCTGAGCAGGGAAGGCCAGCACCATGTCCACCTGCTGCGGGAAAAGGCTTTGCTCCAGATCACTCGGTGCCATGTTCCAATCGCCACCCATGATGGCGGGCCCAGAACATGTCGAGAGCAAACGACCTGCAGCAGCTAATATCTCAGCATTTATGCCAACCGCCCCAAGGGAATCTTGCATATACACATTGAAGATCGTGATGGGGGGCCAGCCGCTGATGTCAACAATGACCTGCTGTAGTCGGTGGTCCCACACCAGCTGCCCTTGAGGTGGATGCCGAAGGCCCAGTGCGTCACGTACGAACACTGCAACTCCACCTGAGGGAACGGTACCTGACGTACCACGAGCAGGTATGGCAGAGCATTTCTATTGACGGTTCTGGGCCCAGGAGTGAAGATCACCCAAGCTGTCCTCAATGTATCCTATCTCCTGGCATAGCAGTATCGTAGCTTTCGTCTTGGTCAAACGTGCCTTCAACGTGTCACGGCCTCCAGAAGCATTGAAGGTTTCAATAATGAATGTGCCTTGAACATCAGGCTGCGCAGGTCGCCGAACAGCTCCATCGCAGAGCCGCAGACCTGACATGAGAGGAAGGTTAGGAACGTGTCCTTCTCTTGGCCATGTCGCCAAGCGTTTTGGCGAAAGCCTCTGCACCTGACTTGGCCGCCTCGAAAAGCTGCTCTCTCTCAGACTCCTCCAGCTCATCCAGGGAGCGCTTGAGATCGCCACCGCCGTCGCCGCCAGCGTCACCAGGAACATCATCAGGTGCCTGGGGCATGGAGGCGTCCTTCGGGGCGGGCATCTTACCCGCGAGGTACTCTCGGAGCTTGGCCCAGGCGGTAGACCCAAGCAGCGTGCGCACCTCCTCATCATCGACATCGTCTGGCTTGACATCGAGCGGGTTGGAATCTGACTTGTCCGTGGCCTTGCCGCCAAGCTGCCGTGTTGCCTGGCTGACCTCGGCGCGCAGCACACTGACCTCGATCTTCTTGGCCTCGAGCGTGGCGCGCTTATTCTTGAGGGATTCTTGCAGCTCGTCGAGCTGCTTCTGCTTCTCGGTGATGTCCGCTTCCAGCTTAGTGACTGCAGACGTAGCCTTCTGCAGGTCAGAAGTGGCCCTGCGGTGCACCACGGCAGGGGTGCGCAAAGCCTTCTGCTGGTCACGAACTCCTTCAATCTTCCGCTGAATACTCGAGCGTAGCTCGTCGTTGTCCGAACCGTGAGGGACCGACTTGAGACTGGCCTCGAAGCATGCCAGCTGGTTCGCAAGCTTGCGCTTCTTAACCTCGTCGGTGTCATCGTCCGCAATTGTGTTATCCTTCTTGGGGTCAGCGCTCGCCTGCCAAGGTGGAGGCTTGGCGCTGGCCTCGCCCTCCTTGTCAGCAGGCTGGGACGTCTGCCCTCGCAAGAGCTTCTCAATCTCCGCCAACCGCTTGCCGAGCTCAGACGGCACAGTCGACGATGGGACCCCCCGCTGATTGGGGCCCGTGCTCTTGCCCTTGCCGCCGCGGCCTCCGCCGCCAGCAGCGTGCTCCTTCTCCCATCGTTGGTGCTGCTCCACGGCCGTCTTGCGGATGCGCAGCGGAGCCTCCCGCCCACAGGCGCAGCGCACACGGCAGGCCCAGTTGGAGGGGGCCATGCCGCAGGCCCCGCAGGCCCAAGTCGGCCGCCTGGGGCCGCGCAGGACATCGGGCAGGTCGGGCGGCGGCGGTGCCATCGGCCGCCGCACTGGGAGGGAGCCAAAACTGTCGGGATGATCGTAGATGGTGGCCCGCAAGCACGAGCCGCACTGAAGATACGTGCTTGCAAGCACAGGGATCTCGCCTGTGCCAGTACGGCTGAAGGATGAGGAGGAGGAGGAGGAGGAGGAGGAGGAGGAGGAGGAGCAGGAGGACGAGGAGCAGGAGGACGAGGAGGAGGCAGAGGAGTAGGCGGAGGAGGAGGAGGAGCAGCAGACAGGAGGAAGGAGGACAAGGAGGGGCGGAGCAGGAGGAGGGGGAGGGATGGGGGAGGGGGGCACAGAGTGAGAGAGCGAGAGCGCGAGAGCACTGTGAGAGGAGAGCGAGAGAGCGAGCGAGTAGAGGCGGTCCGGCTGCCCTCGCCGATGTACTTCTGGACCAGCTCGCCGCCGGACACGCGGATGAAGCAGCAGTTCGTGTGGTGGGCCACCGCGCGGGCGAGCAGCGTCTTTCCTGCGCGCACAGGGGGGGGAGGGCGAGCTGCTCGTCAAGGAGGAGGAAGAGGAGGAGGAGGAGGAGGAGGAGGAGGATGAGGAGAGTGAGGAGACGGAGGAGGAGGAGGAGGAGGAGGAGAAGGAGGAGGCGGAGGAGGAGGACGGGAAGATCACGCATCCGCCCCCCTCACAAGACGGCCCCGGAGGGCCCCAAGATTCCTCCAGGTGCGTCCAAGATGCCTCCCAGACGGCCCAAGATGGCCTCCAGGCGATCCAAGACGGCGTCAAGACGGCCCTCAAAAGAGGGCCCCAAGTCGGCCCAAGAGGCCATATCTCCCCCCATCCCTCCGAGGAGGGGTGAAGCGGGTGGGGGAGCAGCAGGGAGGGGGGCACGACCGACGTCCACCGGCCAGCAGCACGACCAGCAGCCCGACGTCGAGCAGCACGAGGGGCAACAGTGAGCAGCACGACGAGAACCAGCAGCGCGACGCTGAGCAGCACTACGGGCACCAGCAGCACGAAAGTGGGCAGCACCACGATTCTGACACCCACCACTGAGCATCACATCACGACGGGCACCAGCTGCCTTATACTGCACGGGTGTCAGCAGCACGGTGATGATCAGCACGACTGGGCGTAGCAACGCGACGGGTGCCAGCTGCTAAACACTGACCAGCACGACGGCTGCCAGCAGCACGACGCTGAGCAGCACGACGAAGTACAGCAACACGACTCTGACGCCCAGCACTGGAAACCACGACGGATACCAGCAGCACGACGCTGGACAGCACGACGGGAACGGGCAGCACGACGCTGTACAGCACAACAGAGTTCAGCACCACGACTGTGACTCTGACTGGTGAGCAGCACGACGGGCGCCAGCAGCACGACGCTGAGCAGCACGGCGGACTGCAGCACCAAATCCCTGAGATCCGCAGCACGACGGAGTTCAGCATCACGACTTTGACACCGACCGGTGAAGCATCACGACAGGTACCAGCAGCACAGCGCTGCGCAGCACGACGATGCTCGGCGCCATGGCTCCGACATCCACCAGTGAGCAGCAAGGCGGGCGCTGGCAGCACGAGGCTGAGCAGCGCGACGGTTGCCAGGAGCACGACGCTGAGGAGCACAAGTGAGTGCGGCAGCGCAACTCTGACAGTCCTCAGTGGAATGAGCAGGGGGTTCGAGCACAACGTCCCGCTGTACAACACGACGGATACCAACAGAACTCGGCGGCGAGCCCGGGGGGGAAACGAGAAGGGGCGGGCCTACTCAGAAGGCTCAGAAGTCCCCTGGCCTTGCGAGAAATTTCTGAGCCTTCCACGAAGACACAGAAAACCTGTCCAAGGCCGAAGGGCTTCTGAAAAGTCCCGCCGCCTTCTGAGAAGGCCTTCTCCTTCTCACTTCCCCCCCTCGCTTGCCGCCGAAGAACGACGTCGAGCACATCGGCGGATAGCAGCACCGCTACTCTCACAGCCACGAGCGCTATGGGTCGTGCGTCAATCTCCAGGTCATTGAGCAGCTCGCTGGGTGCCAGCAGCACGTCATTGCGCTTCACTACAGAGAGCAGCAGCAACAGAATCAGCACGACTCTGGCATCCACGAGTGGGACGGGCGTTGAGCAGCACAACTGGGAGCAGCAGCACGAATACGACTCTCACGAGTGAGATCGGTGTGTCGAGCACCACGTCTCTGAACAGCACGACGGGCAACAGCTGCACGACTCGGACATCCCGCGTCCCTCGGCAGCGCAAGCGGGGGCCTGCAGCACGACGGGGAGCGGCGGCACGATCCTAACGTTTGCGAGCGTCTCGAGCAGGGTGTCTGGAAGGTCTTGTTTGAGCGGCTCGGCCGACGCCTGTCGCGTGAACCTGAGCAGCATGGTCCAGATCGGAAGTACGGAGTTGGTTTCTCGTGCAAGTTCTGCAGCACGGTGCCTGGCAGTGGGTCGAGCACGTCGCCCACTAGCGGTACGACTGGCACAAGTATCACGGTGAGCTCTAGCAGCAGCGGTACGATTCTGACATCCTCTAACGAGTAGTGTTACAAGCGCCACATCGTTGAGCAGCACGACGCTTCACAGCAGCACGACCTTGAGCAGCACGATTGAGAGCAGCACGAAGCTTGAATCCATGTATGAGGGGAATAGTGTATCGAGCACAACGGTCCTGAGCAGCACGACGGCTACATGCAGCACGACGGTGATCAACACGACGATTTGAGGCAGCAGCATGACATTAGTGAGATGGCTCGCGCGTCGTGCACCACCTGACTGCGCAGCGCTCTGAGAAAAAGCAGCACGACGCTGAGCGGCGCGACTGGGAGCAGGAGCGGGAGCCCGACATCAACGAGTGGGGCGGGTCGTGCGTCGAGCACCACGTCACTGTGCAGCGCGCTGGGTATCAGCATCACGACGTGAGCAGCGCGGCGAAGAGTAGCAACACGACTTGGGCATGCACCACTGCGACGAGCACTGCATTGAGCACCACGTCCGTGAGCAGCCTGACTCTAGAATGACGGGTCCCAGAAGCACGTCCTTTGAGCTGCACAGTTGGGAACGGTAGCGCGAATCGAATATCCCCGAATGGACGAGGAGTGGGTAGTGCCTCGAGCCTCACGCCGCTGAGCAGCACGACGGTACCAGAATGACTTTGGCCAGCACGACGGGAAGCATCAGCAAGACCCTGAAGTCCATGAGCATAAAGATCAGCGCATCAACTATCACACCTCTGAGCAGGTGGTCGGGTTACCAGCAGCACGACGCTGAACGGCACCACGGACAGCAGCAGCACCGCTCTGGCACCCACGATTCAGACGAGCAGCCCACATGCGAGGGTTCCAGTACGATGGTGGTGCCAGCATGTGCGAGCTCGCCCGCTGCATCCGATCTGCCAGAGTCCCACCTTCCAACCCGACCTGCTACGATCTTCAAGAGCACGGCCAAGGTGAATCAGTGAGCATAGTCTTGAGCATAGTCTGCGAGGGTGCGAACCGCAAAACAATACAACATGTAATTCCGACGGAGCCATGGACACGGAACGGAGGTGATATCGCCCCGAAGGCATGCGCTGAGCGTGCGAAAGCGCACGTACATGCACAAGCGTTGTGCGGCCATGCGTGGCAGCGCAAATGAATAGCTGAGCAGAAACCGAAGCTTGATGTTCGACGACGGCTGAAAGCTAGCAGCCACGCCGTCTTCGCCTGCACGGGCACGGACTTACAAATACATCCGCAGACTCGTCAGCGTGCAAACGTGTATGGAAGAAGATCGACACCGAACCACAGTATTGCGAGGCGGGGTTTATCCATATCCACCGCCTGGGAACCGACGTCCTGGTGCCCCAGCGGGCGGTGGATATGAATACATTCTGGCCCCCGGGGGCCCGAATAGGCCCGTATCCACCGCCTGCCGGGATCCCCGAAAATTGATCCTCCAGGCGGTGGTCATGTATAAATTCCCGCCTCGGAAGTACGGTACATCGACCAATGTTGCATCACCTGGCGCTGACAATAAATCGCATCGCTGTTACATCAATCGTTCGTTCCCCCCCCCCTCCCCCCCGATCTTAATATTGGGTTCGGTCCGGGCTGGTCGAAACAGCTCGGCGGTGCAACATTTTGTCGGGAGCCCCCGGGCGGAACAGGGGCTCTTCGCCGTGCACCCAGTATTAAGGTCGGGAGGAGGGGGGGGGGGGGGGGCAGGAGCAGTGCAGTACAGGTGCCAATGCACAGCAAAAGTGGTGCAACAGTTCGTCGATGCACGGCATGCGCCCGCACGTGCGCCCACGTCCGCACACGGACCGAGCATCGCCTGTGCAGGCCCTCTGGGAGCCGCACGGAGGCCCGAGGCAGGCTCGGGCACCCCGGGGCTCCCACGGCGCCAGCCAGGCTGCTGCCGTCTACGCTTGAGGTCGGGCACGTCCTCCTGCAGGCGGATCCTGAAGGGAAAGCAAAAAAACAAACAAAAAACACATTCGGGAATCATCCAACAAATAGCAGAAAAGTCGTCCCTCTATCATTTTTTGACCACTGTTGGATATCCCTCCTGCAGGGGGACTTGCCAGATTTCAGGCAGGCCCTGACACCCCAGCGCTCCCGCGGCGCTAAGCTCGCTGCTGACGTGTGCGTACTCTTGGCAGGGGCGCACTCGGCAGGCCCTGCCGCGAAAAGTGAAGGGGCCCACAAACACACAAACAAATACACACGACTCCCAGGATCCCCCATATTTTCACACACTTCCTGGGCTTCTGCCTTCCCCCCCACTTCCCATTTCTTCGCAGATGTTCCTGGGAATCGACGATTCATTGTGTCTGCGTGTTTTTTTCCCTCGGGGCTTTGCACCTCCTGGGGCTGATCCCGGGGAGGTGCAAAGCCTGATCCCGGGGCTTTGCCTCCTCCCGGCCTCGCCCTGAGGCTGCGCTCTCCCCCCTTCCTCCCCCTCCTTGTGAATTCAAGCTTCGCGCGGCCCGCTCAGCTTCGACAGGAAGAGGCGCGCTCTCGACCCGCGAATCAAAAAAGTGTGGTGTTTTTCCCTCCCGGAAGAGGAGGCGGCAGCAGGGGAGGGGGGGGGGCGCAAGAGAGAGAGGGGGGGGCCTCCGGCCGCCTGAGGCCCCGCCCGCCCGCGCCCTGTCTCCCCAATGAGTGCTTTGCGCGGCCCGCCCAGCTCTTAACCGGAAGAGGCTCGCTCTCGACCCGCGGACCCGAAAGTGTTTTTTTTTTCCCTCCTGGAAAAGGAGGCGGCAGCAGGGGGGGTGGGGGGGGCGCAAGAGAGAGAGAGTGGGGGGCCCCGGGCGGGCATGGGGGCGGGGCGGCGCAGCGCCAGTGGCTCGAGGAAGCACGACGGACTGCTGGGTGGTGGCCAGGGGCACCGAGCACCGAAGAACACTCTAAAGAATAGATATATAGAGAGAGAGATAGATCGATAGATGGATGGATAGATAGATAGATAGATACATAGATAGATAGATATATATATAGAGAGAGAGACATATATCTATATTGGTATATACATAAATATAAATATATATATATATATATGTGGGTATCAATAGACTTATATATATATTATGTGTATATATACATACATACATACATTTATATATTGATGCTGATATATATATATATATATATATATCGATAGCGATATATATATATATATATAGTTGTAAGGATTCCCAAAAAAAAAAGCAGATAAAGAAGTCGAAAAATATAAATACGTGGCTATGCTTATTCTTGTCTTCTGCCAGAAAGAATGGGGTTCGTGGACCCCGTGGGGGTGCGCACGAGCGTCCGTCGACACGGTGCAGGGGGAAGCCGCTGGCCAGAACGGCGCCCCGGCGGCGGCGGCGGCGAGAGCGGGAGGCGCCTGTGCCAGGCGGGCCGTAGAGCAGGACCCCCTTCGGCTGGGCGATACCGAGGGACTCGAATATCTCGGGGTGCTTGATCGGCAGCTCGATGACCTCCTTGATCTCCTGGAGAAGTCACGAGCGGTGACCCTCAGGAGCAGGAGGGGGAGGGGGAGGAGGAGGAGGAGGAGGAGGAGGAGGAGGAGGAGGAGGAGGAGGAGGAGGAGGAGGGAGGAGGAGGAGGAGGAGGAGGAGGACAAGAAGGGGGAGAAGGGGGAGGAGAAGGAAGAAGAAGAGGAAAAGGAGGAGGAGGAAGGAGGAGGAGGACTCTGTATCCATGCCCTCGCGGTCCGGACACCGAGGCACGATCCTACCTACGGATGTGCAGCCCTATGGATGCGTGTCCAAGCGGGGCCTCCGCGCAAAGCCGCCCTGCATTCGTGGGGCCGCGGCCGCGGAGTCCAGACCGCAGGGCCGTGGAATTCCCCTTCGACGAGCACCGCGCAGAAAGCATCTATACTCGGCGGCGAGCCCGGAGGGGAAGGTGAGAAGTAGAAGGCAGTCTCAGAAGGCTTGGAAGTCCCCCGGCCTTCTGAGAAATTGGCCAAGCCTTCCCCGACAGCACAGATCATTTCTCAGAAGGCGCGAGGGCTTCGGAGAAGTCCCGCCGCCTTCTGAGAAGGCCTTCTCCTTCTCGCTTCCCCCCCCCTCGCTCGCCGCCGATATCTGCACCCCCACCGCGCCTGGCCAGGGCCGCCCCGCCAGGGTGTAGTATACGCTCTCCCGGGCAAGGCCAGGAGGGACTATGCACAATCCCAAGGCCCAGGGCCCTGGACGGTTTCCCCCGGGGCCGTAGGCGACCCGAGAAAGGAGGGCGAGGAGGGGGCACGCCAACTCGATGAATCCGAGCGCGCCGAGACAGGGCCAACGAAAAACGAGGGCGAGGAGGGGGAGGAGGAGAAGGAGGAGGAGGAGGACGACGACGACGAGGAGAAGGACGAGGAGGAGAAGGAGGAGGAGGAGGAGGAGGAGGAGGAGGAGGGAGGAGGAGGAGGAGGAGATGGAGGAGGAGGAGGAGGAGGAGGAGGAGGAGGAGGAGGAGGAGGAGGAGGAGGAGGGAGGAGGAGTAGGAGGAGAAGGGTGAGGACGCGTCGCCCAAGGCCTTCGGAGAAACCCTCCAAATGGCCCTGGTCTGGCACGGCGATGGTGCCTGGACACCCTCGGGCACCGGCGCAGCCCCAGGCAGGCCCGAGGAGCAAAAGCAGCACGGGGCGGGGAGGGGGCTTGCCTGGGTTAAGGTTCTCTTTCGGCGCGGAGAGCCGGAGCCTGATCTTTCACTCCCCCCATCGAGCAGACTAGACTGAAGGGGCCCAGGGGCACGCAAATGAACATACACAAATGCAAGGATTCCCCGTCCATATCATCTGGATTTTCGTCTTCCCCCTCACTTCCCATAGTTTCCAATCTTTTCCTGGGGACCGAAAATTAATTGTGTCTGTGTATTTTTACCCTCGTCTGTGGGGCACCCCTGGCCGTCTCCCCCGTGTACAGGCGGGCTCCTCCCTGGTCACACCCTGGCAGAGCGCCGCGCCATTTTGGCTGCGTCCCAACCGCGGTTGGTCAATTCGCTGCAACTCAATTCACACCTGGTGGCCCTGCTCTCAGGTTGTCGCACGCTTGCAGCCCCCTGGCAGCCCCGGCAGCTCGCAGCACCCCCCCCCCCGGCTCCTCCTGCTGCTCCGGCCCTGAGGCTTCGGCGGTAGGTCCTGCTCTGCTCCGCGCTACGTAATTAGGCCCCCGCGCGGCCCGCTCGGACCTTACTCGCCGTTGGCGCGCTCGCCTTCGGCTGCTAACAAAAAATGTTCCCCCTTCCTGGCAGACGGGCAGGAGGAGAAGGGGCAGCGGGCTGGCCCAGCGAAGACTTCTGAAAAGGGCCGACATGAGGCTGGTCGGACCAAAGCATTGCGCAACATTTGCCCCCGCGACCCCCTGACAGGCCCCCGTGGCCCATTTGAAGCCCCTCGACAGTCTCTAGACGCCCCCCCCTTCCGGCCTCTGAGGGGGCGGATGGGGGGGAGGCGATCTCAAAATGACCCTACAGCAGCTAATCGTGATCGAGAGAAGGCTATGGCCTCAGGAGTCGGGGTCTCAGGCACTTGCGTTTTACCCGATGTTCCCGAAGCAATACTTGAGCTGAGGGTTTCTCACCTCTGTCCTAAGGAACTGGGTCTGGCGGCTATGTTGCCGCCGTCGCCGCCCGTCGCCGCCTCGTCGCGGCCCGTCGTCTGGGCCTGGCGGTCGGTCTGGCGGCTACGTTGCCGCCGTCGCCGCCCAGTCGCCGCCTCGTCGTTGCCAGTCGTCTGGGCCTGACGGTCGGTCTGGCGGCCATGTTGCCGCCGTCGCCGCCCAGTCGCCGCCTCGTTCTTGCCCGTCGTCTGGGCCTGACGGTCTGTCTGGCGGCTACGTTGCTGCCGTCGCCGTCCCGTCGCCGCTTCGTATATGCTCTCCTGTCTAAAGAGGAGTTGGGATCAACCACCGCCCCGCGGATTATCGACACATCATGGGGATGTGCAACTTACATACGATTCTGCGCCATGGTTCAGAATACATATGGACCCAAACCATCCAAACCAAGCCGGGTGCGACACACCCTGATAATCCGATGCGCACACACTCGATTATCATAAACCATCAGGTTGCAAGAACGCTTGGCCCCAAAAAATGACGAACTGCACACGCGCGCGTCGACGCGCGCGCATGCCAAAATCCTTCAAATACCTCAGGCGCCGTCTGGAATTCAAAACAATGTGTCCCGAAAACATATAAAACAAACCACGGTATGCAACATGATGTGTCCAAACACGGGCGCGCTCTCGTGATTTTTTGTGAAACCCATGGCTGTTCCACATCCTCATCAAGTAGGACCACACGGGCCTCTCGCGCGCACGCATGCCGAAACCATTCGAACGCCATTGCGCGTGTCAAAGAGCACCATGCGGGCCACTCCCACTCGCGCCCGTCGGCCGCGCGCGTTTGCCGAAATCCGCCCAAGACGCTCATCACTGACATGTGGACACCATCAGCGTCACCGGAATGATCAGCATCGGCGCCGTCATTGGCCTTGCCGTCGTCATCGTCGTCATCGTCACCAACATCGTTTCTATCATCATCGCGTTTGCGCACGGAAGTGTCTACGGCGCCACCGCGGCCGCGTCAGTCGCGCCAAGCTAGCTGGCCGCTCTGCGCGCGAGCCTGCGCGCGCGAGCGCGACCGCAGCGATGCGCCAGCCAGCGCCTAGCAGTCATGGCAATCGCCGCCGCGTGGGTGTTGCAAACCAAATTGCGGGTGGGTGGGTGGGGTGATTGCGCGAACAGTGAGGTTGATAACTTCAAGTTCGGAAAAGTGAATTGCACCGACTATGTGCACACAAGCGCGTCGTCGCGCGCGGATGCCGAAATATTCCAAAACCGTAGGTTTCGTAAGTATGTCAAAATCGAGCATCCCGAAGACAAACCCAAACACATGGTTTCGCAACAAAGTTGTTCATTTCTTGCTGTTGAGAAAAACTGCGCCCGCGCTCTTTCGAGTTCTCTGTTTAATATAAGAACGATTGGCCATTCAACATTGTCATGCAACGCTGCCAAGCGGGCCTCGCGCGCGCATGTCGAAATCGTTCGAACGCCCTTTGTGCGCGCGCTGTCGCAAGAACCTTGTGCAAAACAATGGCGAAGTAGACGCGCGCATGCCGTTTATACATGTATACATCATAAGAATGCGCATAATCATGAGAAAGGCAAAACCTGTGGTGTTGTTAAGGATGTCAAAAACGAACGTCCTGGCATCATGTCAAAACACATGGTTTGCAACATCTCTTTTCTTGAACAAATGATGCGATCGCGCCTCTCGCGCAGCATGTCGAACTCATTCGAACGCCCTTGCGCGCGTGCGGGGGGGCACGATCCGTATCAAGTAACGCCACGCGGGCCACTCGCGCGCCTCGGCCGCGCGCGCATCTCGAACCTCTTGAAAAAACTGCTTCGCCGACCCGAGGACATCGTCATCGATACCGGCGGGCGTCATCAACATCGGCGCCGTCATTGGCCTTGCCGGCGTCATCGCCAACATCGCCACCATCATCGTCACTCGCAGAATCGTGTCTACCAATGTCGGCGTCGCCATGATACCACGCCCGCCCAAGTCACCGATTCGTACTGAAGTACCCGCTGGGAAGACCCCGGCGGTCAGCGCCACCGCGGCCGAGTCGGTCGTGCCGCACAAGCTGGCCGCTGCGCGCGCTAGCATGCGCGGGCTAGCGCGGCCGCAGATATGCACCAGCCAACGCCAAGCACTCATCGCAACCGCCGTCGCATGGGTTTCGCAAACTGCGGGAGGGTGGGTGGGAGGGTTGCGCGAGCAATGAAATTCACAACTCACTGCGGGCAGTGGATCACACCAAAAAGATTGCTCAACATAGGGTGGCCAGTATATACACATGTTTACATTTGTAGTTTGCACCACCTAGGTCGTGCAAAGTAGATCGCACGACATAGTGTGAACACCGTAGATGGCACAACATAGATCGCACCACATAGGTTGCACCACATAGATTGCACACACATGTTGCACCACATAGATTGCACCACATTTAAGGCTATCCTAGATTGCACAACATAGATTGCCAGAAACGCACTGGTTGGGATCAACGCTGGCTAGCATAGAAATATCTGCGGGCAGCGCGAGTCATTACACGAGCCATCTCGATCGACAGAAACCGATGACCAGGGCAGCGCTTGCTGTTAGCTGGAGCTTGACAAACACACAATGCGTTTCATCTTGAAGGTGTTAGAGTTCGGAGCTCAGGGCTGCGAGTGCACAGGTTAGGTCCTTGATCTGCTTGTCCACCCCGCCCACCATCTCGTAAGTGCTGTCTGGCGTCTTCTCGACGCGCATAAGCTGCACCAGAGGGTCGACCTTGCTCGGGAGAATCTTGTGCAAGACGTAGCTGTCACTGCGGAGGGCGATTCGAGCCTAGGTGAACCGACGATGCGTTGATGACGGCTTGTGGTGAGCGGTCCAACCGTTCCTCCTGCCCCACTCCTCCGTCTCGTCCTCCCACCTCCCTCCTTACCCCCATCCTACAACTCATACTGCTGATCCTATCCTCGTCAATTAAATAACTCCTCCCTGTCAAACCCTCAGACGTGTCGGAAGGGAGGATGAGGCGTTTCGCCTGAGACTTCATCACAATATGTGTTCCTGATGTTTGAAAGTTGCGACGCTTCAAAGAAGGAGCACAGGTAGTTTTCAAACTATAGCTATCGCCTTAGCGCTGGAAACAGTCGTCTTAACAGCTTGCAAGAGCTTCAAGGGTAGAGCACAGCTCGTTTTCATTCAAAATGTGGCACTCGCCGTAGCGCCGCGCATTCATCTTGAAGATTTGCAGAAACTTCAAAGATAGAGGAGGCGTCGTTTTCAAAATGCGGCTCTCTCCCCCCAGCGCCGCGCACACCCGTCCTAAAAGTTGCAAGAGCTGCAGGGGTGGAGGTGATGGCTTTCAAAATGCGGGTCTCACCGTAGCGCCGCGCAGCCTTGGAAGTTCGCAGCAGTTTCAAGAATGGAGCACCAGTCATTTTCAAAATGTGGCCCTCGCCGTAGCGCCGCGCACATTCGTCTGACCAATTTGCACGAGCTGCAAAGGTGGAGCACAGCTCGTTTTGCAGAACGGCGCTCTCGTCTCAGCTTCACGCACATTCGCTTCGAGATGTTACAGCCATCCTGAAGATGAAGGGCGGTCCTTTTTCGAATAGGGGCGCTCTCGCCTTAGCGCCGTGCGCATTCGTTTCAGAATTCTGCAGCGTGCGCAGGGATTGAGCACAGGTCGCTTTCAAACTGGAGCTCTCGCCTTAGCGCCGCACACTTTGTCGCTTTTGTTTATATGTATATATATAAATAAAACAACAACAAACGGAAAGTGGAGGACTGCTCCTTTTCCAACATGACGCTATCGTTCCAGATTTCGCTGATCTTCAAGACGCAAGGCTTCAACACATGAAGCACTGCACGGCTACAGAGCGGCTTTTCTTCAAATGGAAGTCTCTCGCTTGAGACTTCCTCGAGGTGCGCAGCCACACCTGCAAACTTGTGCAACAATTACACGGGCGGTGGTATTTCTTCGAAAACGGGGTCTCGCTGGAGACCTCGTTGAACCATATGAACAAGTTGCTTTTTCGCACGTCTGATTATTCTCCAGAGGGGCGCAAGGCAGTTCAGAGTGGGGTCCACACCAAAATGGCCGGCCCAACTGTACTGGTCTTGTAATGGGGCGGAGCTTCTTGCAATAAAAAGCAAAGCTTGCATGGATTATGCGGAGGGGACGTAGGACAGGATGGTGTAATGCAGTATCGATGATGCAGCTTAGGTTTACTCTGGTCCTGTCTCCTCCACCTCCTCCTCCTCATCCTCCTCTTCATCCCGCCATTGTTGCATTCCTGGCTTCTGCGACTTCTTACTCAAACTTATTCCTGCTCCTCCTCCTCCTTATCATCATCATAAGATTACACTTCTTCCTCAATCATCTTCCCTCGTCACGTATGTATCCTCATCATAATCCTGGTTATCCCTCCTCATCCTCGTCGCCATCGCCGTCACCAACAGCGGCGTCATCATTGTCTGCATCATCATCACCATCATCACGATCATCATCACCACCACAGCCGTCATCATCACCACCACCACCATCACACCATCATGTTTGTTGTTCTTTTCGCTGGCATCAGCTGGCTACGGGCATCTGGCTCCAGACTCCCTGGCACCGTAGCGGGAGGAGGAGCCCACACACACACACACACACACACACACACACACACACACACACAAACACAAACACAAACACTAACACAAACACACACACACACACACACACAAACATATACATACACACTTTTGAGCGGTAGCGGCCTCTCGCGCGCTACGAGGCGGAGTAAGTCCGAGCAGCGGGGCGGACGCGCGGAACGGGGCCCTCAAACGGAATCGCCTCGAGTCGCCGCACTGGACGCCACAGCAGCGCAGGCACATATAGCCATCCGGGCGCGGATGGCGAGAAAGGAGGGCGCTGCCCGTCGCGGGACGTCTCACGCGAGGACGCCTCGAGCAGCCGCCGCGAGGGACATGATTCGCGCACCAGGTGTGGGCGGCGGGGAAGAAGGAGGCCGGCCGCGCGCGCGGCGGACGGTCCAGCCTCGGAGCGGCACGAGGCGTGGATCCGCGATGCAGCAGGAGCGACCCAGCGCAAGAGGCAAGGACAGCGAGGGAGGTGAGTAGAGGAGAGAAAGCCATGCGCACATACACACGCACACACACACACACACACACACACACACACACACACGCCGATCCTGGCCAAGCCCCCATCCTGAGCCCAGAATCGGTGCATGATTGCGCCCTCCTGCCGTGGCCAGGGCAGCGCACAGGCACCCCTCCTGGGTCGGGGAGGGGCCCTGCCAGGAGCGGTGCAGGTGCGTGGCCCTCGTCGCCCGAGCAAGGAGAGGCCTGGAGGCGGGCCTGCGGAGCCCCCGGGAGGCCAGCACCGCTGGGACCGGGGGCCGCCGTCCACGGCCGGGCGGGAAGCGAGAGATGATGCGGGGCGCTGCCGCGGCGAGGGCGCGGCGGGGCCGGCGCCCGAAGCGCCCGGGGGGCAGACCCCGGGCGCGGCGGGAGGAGCGGCGGCGGCGAGAGCCGCGGGAGGGGTGGGCCGGAGGAAGGGGCCGAGCTGACAGGAGGGCACAGCGCGAGGGCCGGGGGGGGGGGCCCTGGTTGGCGGCCGGGAAAGACGCGGTCGGCGCGTGCTGGCTGGCCCACACGTGCAGGAAGGCAGAGCGCGTGCTGGCTGGCCCACACCTGCCAGGTCGCGCCGACGAGATCGGCGCGGGTGGAATCGGAGCCGAGCCGCCACCCTGGAGGCAAGGGCGTGATGCATGGCGTCGGAAGCCGCAGACGGGACGGCCCCTGTCATAATGCAAGCATTGGCTCGGCGGTTGGGCCGCGGGGTTGTCGCCAACCACCGGGGGGGCCGAGGCCTCGCAGCAGGTCTAGCCCCCACCGACAGGCGGCGGCCGCCGCCACCGGAGTCGCAGCACGATGGAAGGGCCAGAGTCCCTGCAGCCAGCAGGGTGGGCGGAGCGGTCGGGGCGGCGCGGTGGCCAGAGCACGATGCGGGCCCCAGCCACCACCTCCTTGGGGAGGCGGGCTCCAAGGGCAAGAGGCTGGCCCTGGGGTCGACGGTGAGGCCGCATGGGACGCAGGCCCCACGGCCGGGTGAGGTGGCCCGCGCGGCGGGGAGGCGCGCCGCGGCCACTCGGCGCGGGCGTCGCACGCCAGAGCGATGCGGGGCGGGGGCGCCCAGCCGCGCCCAGGCACGCGCCAGCCTGCCTCCGGCGACTCGGGGGGCCCGGAGACGACGGCGAGTCCGCGGCAGCCCTACGGGGCGCGCCGGGGCGCGCCGCCCCCGCGCTGCGCTCTAGCCTGGCAGCCGTCGCGCGGACGCTGAGCTGCGCAGGGGACGGGGGCGTGGCTGGCGGGCATCTGGCGCAGAGGGTCCACGCAGCCTCCCAGACTCGGGTTGACCCAAAAGGGGGTCCAGCTGAAAGGGGGTGCAAATGCACTGCGCCGGGGAAGTGTTTAGCATTGTATTGCAAGTAATGTATTGCACGCGAAAATCCAGCAATACCTTAGCACCATGGAATGCATTGCACGCCCCAAATGTACTGCAACCCCGGAAATCCATTGCACCAAATCTATTGCACCACCCCCTTGACGCCCCTTTCGGGTCAGCCCGACAGACTTGCGCCGTCTGGACTTCCGAAGGCAAGGCGCGAATCCCCAGCGCCGCCGCCGCCCGGGCCTTCGTCGGCGCCCAGAGCGGCCACGGCCGCTGCGCGCACGGCGCAGGCGGCCGCCTCCGGCGAGAGAGGGCGGCGGGCGAGCGCCGCAGCGCGCCGGCAGGCCCGTGGAGCCACGAGCAGGGAGGAGCCCTGCGCGAGACGACACAGCGCGGCACGCTGCGCTGGAGGCGAGGGCGCCGGCGCGCGGCCTCGCGCGGGCAGCTCGCGCGCCCATGTCGGCGCAGACGACCCCTCCTTCAGCACCGCCCAGGGGGGCGCGCCCCCCGAGGCGTCGCAGCCGCAACTGCGAAGCACAGCGGGGGGGGCCGGGCGGGCGGGAGGCGGAGCCCGACGAGGGCCGCCGCCGTGCACCAGGGCCGCAGGTGGGCGGCGCCCGCCTCGCCCAGCCCAGGGCAGGGGCCCGGGTGGAAGGACCCGGCTTCAACAGGGGGTGGCGAACGGGAGCGGGCCGTCGCGGCTCAGCGGTTCGCCGGCGAGCGGTAGAAGAGGGTAGAAAATCCACCGCGATAATAACCGCCCCGACACGGGACGCCGCTGAGCAAACGCACCCAAAGAAGGAATCAAACAGGGCAGGGCTGTTCAGTAAACGCCCAGGGCCGTTTAGCAAAACGCCCATTGTCAAGTCTGGGTGGTTTTTCCTCTCTTGAAGTAGGAGACGCTCCGGAATGATGCTCCACGGGAGGCCCGCCCACTTGGCGGGGCACTTGCCCCGGGCGCGTTAGGCGGCCGGCGCGCCACTCGGCCCCGCGGCGCTCCTGCGCGGGGGCGCGCCAGACCAGCGCATCCTCGCTCCGACGCTGCCGGCAGGCGCACCCGCGCGGCATCTGGGCGCTGCCGCGCCTGCCTGGGCAGCCCGTCGCAGAGCATCGCGAGCGCGCGGTGGGCCGCCGCGCAAGAGGTCACCGCTGCAAGCAGCCCCCATTTATCCCCGCCGCCCCCAGGCGCATGGACGCGGGCGGCGGAGCGGTTGCCCACCCATACGGTCGCGCGGGAGAGGCGCCGCTCGGCCCAGGCAGCGACGTAGAGCGCGCACGTCCGAGGGATGGCCCCCTGCTGGCCTGGAGCTCGGGCCGATGGACGGCCAGCCGAGCGCGCAGCGCGGCCTGGTCGGCGGCCACGGGGCTGGCGGCCCCCGGGCGCTCGGAGAGACGAGGAGAGCAGGTGCAGTCGAGAGCCCAGCGAGCAAGTGAGGACCACGCCTCTGCAGCTTCATTGGCAGCACGCGCGGGGCCCCAGAAGCCCCGCCGAGCGCGCGCGAGGGCGACGACCGCCCGCGAGCTCGCGGCGAGGCACTCAGGCGCCCGACGGACGCCGAAGCACGGGCCGAGCCCAGCGAGGAGGCCGAGGGGGACGCATCGGGCCCCCGCCACGGCGAAGGCGCCGCGGAGGTGGGAGCGGACAAGGACCACCTGGCTGGTGGCTGAGCACTGCGCAGGATGCTGGATAGGGTGCCAGGGAGGCGGCGCCGAAGCTCCGGCCGGCAGCGCGTAGCCATGCGGAGACCCGCGCAGCGCAGATGGCGTGGGCGCGCGCCCCAGCTTTGGCGAGGGCTCTGGCCCGTGTACCGTCTCGCATGGCTCCCACCTGATCGCCCTCGTGCCACCCGGTCTGGCGGTGGCCGTCTGGGGCGGCGCAGGAGGTGCACGCGGTGCCCACGCGCGGCCAGGGTGCACGGACCGCGGCGGAGCCGAATGGAGAGGCGCCCAGGACGGCCCTCCACCAGTCGTGGTCGCTCGCAGGGGCCAAGGCAGTCTTGAGCGCACAGTGACACTGGTGCTGAAAGATAGCGACGCCGTTCACTGCGGCCCCCCCGAGTTGGCGGTCAGAAGGGCGAGCGCCAGATGGGGGGGCCAAGCCAGTGACAACAGCGTGCCCACCGTCGTCCACCTCCAGCGCGAGCGGGAGCTGCGCGACGCCCGCGTAGAGAGCCGAGGTAGATCGAAGATGAGCCCACGGCAAGCACGGGTGGCGATGCTGAGCCCCGCGAGCGGGCACCTGCGACGGACGACCCCAAAAATGTCAAGATCAGTGCGCTCCGAATCCGCATCGTTTGAAGCGGCCTCCCGGGCGGGACAGAGTGCGCGCGCGGGGCGCGAGCAAAAATCAAAGAAACGGCACGGCGTTCCAGCGCGCCGCGCAGCGCGCCTGCAGCGCCGGGTCTTGGCACCTGTCGTAGAAGCCGAAGCACTCGTCGACGTCGTCGGGCGAACCCAAGATGATGGGGGCGCGCTGGTGGACGCTGGTGGGCGGGATGCCCACAACGCGGCCGCGGCCGGTGATGGACTCGCCGCCGGCCTGCTCCAGCAGCAGGTAGGACAGGGGAAGCCTCGAAGAGCAGGCGCCGCTGGCCGCCCTTCTTTTGCCTCATCCGCGGGGTACGCGATGACGCCCAAGTCGAGAAGCGTGCGGTGCACGTCCCCCGCCATGGAGCCAGTGTACCTCTGGGTTTACCTTTTGCCCGTCTGGCCCTTCCCCTCATCATGAGCTAGTCCCACTGGGTCTCGCTGGCCTGGCTGAGGGAGTAGATGCTGCCGCGGGCCGCGATCTTATGTCCAGGTCGGTAAGCTTGTAGTCACAGATGTCACGGCCCAGCGTGAATCCGACGACTCCGTTCCCGAATGTCACGGCAAACGCGGTGTAAACCGAGTGAAAGTTACGAGGTCGTTACCGGGCTGCACAGTCGCCGTCAAGCAGGCCTGGGCCGCCTCGTCCATCCCGCCGCCAATGAGGTCGAGGTCACACTCGCCGTCGTCAGGCTCCTCGAACAAGCCGAAAGTGGCGCCGCAGGGATACCCGCGGCCACGTTGCTGCTGCCGCCCAGGGGATCTAAGACGCAGACGCAGGAGCCCGTCTCTCCAACGAATTCTCGACACCCACAGGGTCATCTTGTCCCTCTGACACCATGGCGCCAAGCTCCCCTGTGTACCCCACAGCGTTCTTAAATGCTTCGTTGGAAATGGCGTCAAAGTATTTCTGGTCCTCTCCCTGGACAGTCACCACCCTTTTGAAGCCCGAGGAGGTCCGCCAGGCGCGGGGCGCCTTCGCGATCAAGACAACGATGACCTCCGTGCTCCCAGGAAACGGAAGCCATGATGGGGTTCAGGTCCGCGTCCACGACGCCGCGCTTGCTCAGTTCGGTCATGCACTGGGACAGCGTGGCGCCCGTGTGCTCGCGTTTTGTCGGCGGCGCTTCGGATCCGAGCTGTCTTGGGTCTCGGAGGGCAGGTGTCAAGACGGGATGTTTTGCAGTGGAAGGGAGGCGGCACGGCGGAGAGGTGAAAGGCTGAGCACAGAGAGAACAGGGGAGGGACGACGAGGCGACGGGGGACAGCTGCGGGCGGGCTACGCCGGGGCAGAAGCGAAGCCAACTGCGGCACAGGGAGGGGGGCGGCAGGAGGAGGGGGAGACGGCCGCTCGCGCGACCGGGGGCTCACGCACGCACGCGCCGCGGAGCTCGCCGGGGAGGCGCGCCGGCCCGAGGGCCGCCCCCTGCGTGAAGTCCGCGCGGCGCGCCGCGTGCCCAGCGCGCCCTGCGCGACCTCGGCTGGCCGCCGCGGCGGCGGCGCCGCCCGCGGCCGCCGCCGCGGCCACCCGCGCGACGGGCGCCCTGCAATGGCTGGAGGCTGCGCGGCGCTGCGCGGCCGCCGCGGGATCACACCGCATGGCGGGGGCGGCCACGGGCGGCGTGTCCTGCGGCGCGAGCGCCTGCGGCGCCCCGACAGGCGCGGTGGGGGAACGGGGCGGGCGCCTCTGAAGGGGGGGCGGGCGTCGCGGAGCGTCCCGCGCGAGCCTCGGTCGCAGAACGGCGTGAGACAAAATGGCTGCGGACCATCACCAGCATCATCGTCGTCGACGCCATGGTCGCCAATAATGACCCTCATCGTTGTCATCCTCTCCATCCCCTCACCCTCCGCCGCTCATCCCCCTCCTCATCATCATCCTGTTCCTGGTCCTGATCCTGCTCCTGCTCCTGTTCCTGCTCCTGCTCCTGCTGACACCACCTGGAAGCGAACTCCGGCCGAACACATGAACATAAAATACAATGGCGGCTGCTACGACTGCACCGCCACGCCCGAGACGCGGCCCCAGGCGACCCGGGCCTGGGCGGCGGTCGGCGCGCAGCCGAGGGCCAGGAGGTCGATCTCGGCGGCGGCCCACTGCGTGATCCGCTCCAGCGCGGCGCGCCACCGCGGGACCAGCCTGGGGGCCGCCCAAGAGTCAGCGATGCATGCCCCAGCATGAGTGACCAGATGCTCCAGAGAGCGGACAGCTTCAGCGCCTAGCGGCCACGGGGAGGACCGCACTGCCGTACCGCTGGCGCTTGCCTCTGGCTGCCTCGTCTGCCGCGTCGCCCGCCACGGTCGCCGCGCGCAGGTACCTCGCAGCGTGCGGGCACCTGATGGTGACGTCGACGTAAAGCGGTTGCACCGAGCCTGGGAAACTGACCACCAAATCCAGGATCGCCTCCTCAACCCTGCCGGTCGGAGTGACCCGCTCGAGCTCGGTGACGGTGCGCTCGATGTCAACCTCGGCGCGGCACTCCCGCAGCAGGCGGGCCAGAGTCGCCGCCAGGGCGCGATGCGGTCTCATCCTGGCTGGGCCCTGTTTGCAAAGCTGCGGGTGCCGGAGGGTCCGATCCAGCTGCTGGCCGCAAATGTCCTCGCAATCACCGCCTCTGCGCTTGATCCGGCACGTCGCCCCGGGAGGCGAGGACAGCGCGCCCAGTCGGCGCAGCGTGGCAGCCCGGAAAGGCGCCGTGGCCGCCGTGGGGAAGTAGTCCGCCGGCTGCGCGGGCATCTGGAGCCAGAGGGCGCCCGCGCCGGGACCGCCAGAGGACAGCAGGCCCTCGCGACGCTCGGCACCCAGACTGCCCCATAGCCGCGTGGCCTCCAAAGCCTCCAAATGCCGGAAGATGCGACTGGCAAATCTTCTCGGCGCCCTCGCCGGCAGCCCGCCCAGCGGGCCCGACGGCAACGTGGCTTCCGGAACGAGCCGCATCGCGCCGAGGGCGTCCACCGCGACGTCAGTAGCCCATGGGCCTGCGCGGTACTCCGCCGCCGCGTCCTAGGTAAACTTCACGCCGCCCTGGACGTCTGCGATGACCCCCGCCGCCTCGAGCCTGCGTTGCGCGCCCGTGGCATCCGCCTCGCCCGCGCACGCTGGCAGCTGCAGGCCCAGCGCGGCAGACAGCATGGGTCCTGCTCCTGCTCCTCCTCCTCCTCCTCCTCCTCCTCCTCCTCCTCCTCCTCCTCCTCCTTCTCCTCCTCCTCCTTCTCCTCCTCCTCCTCCTCCTCCTCCTCCTCCTCCTCCTCCTCCTCCTCCTCCTCCTCCTCATCATCATCATCATCATCATCATCATCATCATCATCATCATCATCATCATGTTCCTCGTCATCATCACCCTTCTCTTCCTCCAGATCATATCCCCCCATCCTCTTCATTTACATCATCCTCCTCAGCATCATCATCCTCATCATCATCATCATCATCATCATCATCACCACCACCACCACCACCATCATCATCATCATCATCATCAGCAACATCATCGGCATCAGCAGCATCATCAGCAGCAACATCATCATCCGCATGATCAGCATCATCAGCAGCATCAGCATCATTATCAGCATCATCAGCATCATCGTCATCATCATCAACATCATAATAATAATAATGAGAATGCTCATCATCATCATCATCACCATCATCATCATCATCGTCATCATCACCATCATCATCAGCATTATCATCAGCATCATCCGCATCGTCATCATCATCATCACCATCATCATCATCCGCATCCGCATCCTCATCCTCATCCTCATGATGATCATCAGTATCCTCGTCATAATCATCATCATCATCAGCATCAGCATCATCATCATGATCGTCGTCCTCCTCGGCCATACTCCTCATTACCATCCTTCTCCACATCTTCCGTATCCTCACTCCTGCTCCCGCGACATCATCATCATTATTAGCAGCATCATCAGCATCATCATCAGCAGCATCATCAGCAGCATCAGCATCAGCATCAGCATCAGCATCAGCATCATCGTCGTCATCAGCATCATCAGCATCATCATCATCATGATCATAGTCATCGGCGTCGTCATCATCAATATCATCAGCAGCATCCTCAGCAGCAGCAGCATCAGCAGCATCAGAATTGTCATCGTCATCATCATCATCATCAGCAGCAGCATCAGCATCATCAACAACATCATCCCGCCACCACCACCGTATCATCGTCAGCATCATCAGAATCATCATCAGCAGCATCATCATCAGCATCAGCATCATCATCAGCATCAGCATCATCATCAGCATCCTCATTATCATCGGCAGCAGCAGCACCACCATCCGTATACACATCATCATCATCATCATCATCATCATCATCATCATCATCATCATCATCATCATCATCATCATCATCATCTTCATCCCCAGTGTGGGACTACATCCTCCCTTTCCTCCTCATCATCCACTGTACCAGCATCGTCGTCATCGCCATACGCATGGTCGTCGTCGCCACCACAATCACCATCATCATCAGCATCACCGCCATCATCAGCACCAGCATCAGCATCAACAGCAGCATCATCAACAAAACCCAACAACATCATCATCAGCATCATCAGCAGCAGCAACATCACCATCACCACCACAATAACAATATACAATCATCATCATTATCATCGTTGTCGTCATCATCATCACCCTCGTCGTCATCAGCCTCGTCGTTAACGTCATCATGATCGTCATCGCCGTCGTCCGCAGTCAGTCAGGATAACCTTTAGACGTCAAACCCAACCGAATACGTAACCGATCTTCCCAAGAACAACCAGCGTCCTAAGGCCGCACGCGTTGGGCTTGCAATCATCGATCGAGATCTCCTTGTCGATGTCCACTACGTATTTGCCCTCCTGGATCAGGGGAAGGAGGAGGGGGGAAGGATGAGACGAGGAAGGGGGGTCGTAGGAGAAGTAGTTAAGAGGTGGAGGAGGAAGGGCAGGCTGAGACCGAGGGGAGGAGTGGAGAAGGAGGAACAGAAGGAGGAGCAGAAGAAAGAAGAGAAAGAGGAACGGGAGCGAGGGGAGGGGTTGGGAAAGGGGAGGGCGGGAGGAGGGAGAAAAGAGACGTCTATAAACCTGAGATCTCAGATGCACTCTGGAGCCGCGACCGTTGACACACACACACACACACACACACACACACAACCCCCGATCGAGCACTAGGCCCGGTGCAATACTGCACTCGGTTGGGAAATCATGTCAAGTAAAGTGGTCACGAGCTGAGCATGGCCTGCTTTGGGAGCGCTGGGGCCTTGCAGGCAGCCTCGAAGCAACGACGTCGCCGGGGCGCCACGTGGCGACCATGTGCACCACAAGTCGTTGCGGCCAGGGCTATTGCACCTTGGAGTGCACGAGCCCCCCTTTCCCGCCTCGGCAGCAGGGAGGAAAAGGAAGGCCCGCATTTGTGTCGAACCCAACGCAGGGCCACAGGCCTGCAGTTCCTAAGCTACACAGTATTGTTTGCACTGTCTCCTAAACGTACACGTGAGTAAAAGTACATGCTTCTCAGCACCTTTCCTTGGGCGCTGCGAACTGGCTCGGCCAGCCGCCAAGCAAACGCAGGCAGGCAGGGACCATCTTTGTGGCTCCCCAGGAACACTCACGCGCCCACGTGTGGGTCCAACCGCTGTGCAGACTGCGGGTCAAATCGCAACTCTCGTGTTGCTCAGTCTGCCTTGGCGGCGCAGTGTCCTTCCTGCGATCACCTTTTTGCCCCCGTTGTGGATCAAGTGAGGGCTGTCAGATAATCTCAGTCCTCACCATCATCGTCTCAATGCACTTCCGCGCTGCCTCCTGACTCATCAGGTCGCCCAGGCTCACTCTTTCTCTTTCTTTCTCTCTCTCTCTCTCTCTCTCTCTCTCTCTTTCTTTCTTTCTCTCTCTCGCTCTCTCTCTATCTCTCTCTCTCTCTCTCTCTCTATTCCCAACCATCCTGTGGTGTTGGGTCCTCGTTTTGGGGAGACGGTCCCCGCGTTCCTCCCTCCTTCCTCCCTCCTCCTTCCCCTCCTCCATCCTCCCACTTCTCCCTGCGCTTCACCCACCCAGTACAGCGTTTCGTGGCCCGATAGGGAGCTCCACCGAAGGTCCCAGTGCTACCGCCCGCATGCGTCCCACAAACCTAATTTGGCACACCCCTCACACGCGTCGTGGCCCCATAGGAGCTCCACCGAAGCCCCCAGTGGGACCGCCCGCATGCGTCGCCCAAACCCAATTTGGCACACACCTCACGCGTTTCGTGGCCCCATAGGGAGCTCCACAGAAGGCGCCAGTGCCACCGCCCGCATGCGTCACCCCAGGAAGGCCCGAAAAGGCCAAAACCCCATGAGTTTTTGAAGGATTGTGGCATTTGCTTTTTTCCGGCCTTCCGACGGCCCGAGACGACCCAAGTGCCCCCAAAGATCGCCCAAGAGGCCCAAGACGGCCCCAAGAGGCCCCCAAGACGGCCCAAGAGGCCTCCAAGACGCTCAAGATGGCCTCCAAGACGGCCCAAGAGCCCTCCAAGACGTCCTCCAAGAAGGCCCGAAAGGGTCAAAATAGCCTCCAGACGGCCAAGATGACCTTCAAGATGCCCACGTGTTCCCCAAAGGCTTTCCAAACCGACTCGGGGAACACATGGTCTGATAGCTTGGCAAGTCTGGCCTCAACGTTCGGCCACATAGGCGCTTCCAAAAAGGCAGGGGGCGGCGGTGATTCGCCGTAGGCGTCTTCGATCCGCCGCCCTCTGTGCTTGTCACAGGGGTGTCCGGAGTGCTAGACGCTACCGTTTGTGGTTTTGGCTGTTTTTCCAAAGAACTCCCCCTGGGGCTCTGGCCCAGCCCGCCGGTCACCCGGAAGGGACCGCAAACTGCGCATGTGAATGCCTTTCACGCCCAAAATAGCCCAAAATGAACTCCAAGATGCCTCCAAGACGGCTAAGATGGCCCCAAGATGGCCTTCAAGTCCGCCTAAGATGGTCCAAGATGGCCTCCAAGACGGCCCAAGAGGGTCCAAGATGCCTCCAAGTCCGCCCAAGAAGCCACCGAGACGGCCCCAAAGGCCTCCCAAGAAGGCTCCAAGACGACCCAAGAGTGCTTCAAGATGTTCTCTAGGATGGCCCGACGAGGCCAAAATCTCTTGCTTTCCTACGGATTTTGAAGGATTGTCGCATTTGCTCCTTTTCGGCCTTCCGACGGCCCAAGACGGGCCAAGAGGCCTCCAAGATCGCCCCGAGAGCAGGCCGCCCGACGCTCCGAGACGGCCCCAGAGGCCCCAAGGCAGCCCAAGAGGACGCCGAGACGGCTCCAGCATGGCCCGAGAGAGCTCCCACGGCGGCCCCAGAGGCGCCTCGATCGGACAACGCCTACAAACACGCTCTTTCTTGCGACGCTCTCTAAGCTGGCACCTCGACGAGTGATTCCCACCTCTCGGAGCATCTACCTGCCTTCTCGGACGCGGGCCCCGCGCGGGGCCGACGCTCTCGTCGCGCCCACGACAGGCCGCCAGCTCGCAGACAGAAAGCATGCCAACGCATGCCAGTCGAGGCTTCTTAATCTCCACCTCGGGTCGAGGGTCTCCAGGAGCCACTCCTCTGGCTCCGCCCTCATCTGTCTGCATCTCGGGCCCTGCTGGGACCGCGGGGGCTGGCCCCGCTGCCTCTCCCGCGCGGGCAGCGGGCCCGAGCGCGCCCTCGGCAGGCACGGGCGCGGGGTTCACCGCTGCCCGACCCCCCCCCCTCTGCCTGACCGGCCGCTGCTCGCGGCGCCTGGCGCGGGGCTGCCCGCAGCCGGTGCTTACGTCAACCCCCGTTGCCTCGGTGATCTCAGGGTTGTGCTCTAGCTCCTCGCGCAGGAGGTCCGCGTCGATGGTCCCGAACCGCTCTCGGCAGGCTGCCGAGTGCGATCCGCGCCCCGCGCTGCACTTCCTGGTCAATCATCCTCTCCGAGATGCACATGCTGCACCCTGCGCTGGACGCACTCCTCGTCGGCGCAGAGTTCCACGGAATCAGCGCAATGACCCACGGCAACCCAGCACCCCACATGAACTCCTCTGGCGCCCGCCTTACTGCCCCCACTTTCTGGACTCCACGGTCGCTGTCGATCACCAAATGGCCGTCGTTGGCATCGCTCTCGCTTACCCAGACGCCCCCTGCGAACCCGGCTGTCCACTTCCCTCGACTTACAGCAACTCGGGCAGCGATCCTGCACCAGACCAGCTCCCCGAATTCGGCGATCTCACCCCGATATCCCTTGCGAGCATCGCCCCCTACCTTCTCTGTTGGAACGGGGACCCAGCCCGTCCGGTTTGCCAGCCACGGCACGATCGGATCCACCATCTTGATCTCGTTGCCCAACCCGTAGACTCTCAAGAGTCCTGCTGCCGACATGTCGGCGCCCCCAATGTAACAAGCACTCTGCTTTGAGAAGGGTTGCGACGCACGCGCCGACGTTGAACGCGACCTTAGATCGCGGACCGAACTCGCCAGAGCCATCGCGGCAGGCTGCTGGCCCGTCTGCGGCATCAGCGTCGCGCGGCCCCACTGCTCGAGCACCGACGCCAGAGTCGCGATCTCGCAGTCGCCCAGCTCCTCGCCGGCGCACAGCGTGGCTTGGCCCAAGACCTCATAGTCGATCGCATTCAGCACTGAGACAGCTTTCTCTAGATATGTCTTGCTCGTCGCGGGCTCGTCGCGCCGCCCGAAGAAACTCCCCATCATACTTATACTTCGCAACCAACTCATCCACGCCGACTCACAGGACATCGAGACATACCTTCGGAATGTGATTCTCGCCCGCAGCCCCCCGCGCGCAGCGAGGGACATCATCAGCTCTACCTTGAACGCGCAGGGGGCGCCGAGGACGGAATTCGAGGCGATGTCCATCATGGTCCGCGCGCTCAGCCGCATCCGACTGGCACGGAGACTTGAGCACCCTTGTCGGCGCAGTCGTCGTCTCGATGGGCTTCGGACCCAGCGCTCGCTGTAGGCACCCTGCCTCTTGCTCAGCAGGTACCTTTCGTGCATCGTCTTCCACGACGTCGCCACCTGCGAAATATCCTGGCCTCCCTGACCTCCACAGTCGAGGACGAAGTCAAACCCCAAGTGGTAGTTGCCACGATGCTTCTTGAGCGGAGGCGCAAACGCGGCACCATCATCAAGCCCAATCGCCCGATGACCCAACGTCTTGCAGGGCTGCGGAAAACACTCTTGCCTCGCCCCACCACCGCACATTCCGCCACCGCGGGGCGCCCCGCGCCAGCCACTCGCGAACCAACTTGAACAACCTCTCCTGCTCGAGACAAGTCGAGCTCCACGTAGTAGCCGCGCCTTTAAGACTCCTCCGCCCATGCCCTCCAGGCCCTTCATGTTGCTGTCGGCGGGGACGCACTCGTGCATAGTCACTGGCTCCTTGGGCACAACGCCGATCTGAGCTCCAGTCTACGCAGCAGCAGCGCATTCCGAAGCGGGGCCAACCGCACTCGGTCGCCTCCCGCACTCTGTCCCATCAAACCCGGCACCTGGGCAAAGGCGGGGTCGCCCGCTGCCACTCCTCATCAGTCGCACCACCCTTGAGACAGCAATCGCCGCGCGCCTCGCGGAAGTACAATTCCCAGACGTCGCAATGCCACCCACCCCCTCACGAAGCCTCGGCCGCGCGAGCTGCAGAAGTAGCGGCAGTAGGCGCTGCGCCCTCAGACCCCGCCAGTAAGTTTGCATCGCGGCCTTCGGCCGTCAACGCTAAATCAATTTCGCCCGAACTCTCTCACGACTGGTTGGGTAGCTGCACTCGCCGCGCTGCCCGCCACTCCGCTAATCAGGGTCTGCGCGGGAGCCTGCGACGCGCTGGGCCCCTGAACCTGACGCCGCCGCTCGATAT